AAAAAACAAGAGCGCAATAAACTTTTACGTTCGTGACTTTATCACGAGCGCAGGACCGTCCCTCTTATGTCGATTTGTTCTGCCGAATGATTTCAAACTCGCGGGGGAGAAACACTTTTTATGGGTCCTCCTGGGACGGAACGGTTCGTTCTGACGTTGCACTGCAATTAGACGGGAGATCTGTAACGATGGAACTCCGATGGATCGATTTTATAGTGGATAGATGATGTAAGGAGTCATTTAACCCTTTACAGACGAGTGTCGATGTTGAGATGAAATGTTCATGTTTGGAGGACTGAATAGTCGACGAATGATTTAACGCTAGAACTACCGAGCAATTCCCATAAAAATTGTAACTACTGATTATTTTCAGTTTCTTCAGACATTCATTATAGTACTCGAATGAAGCTATTTATTTTCAAAATCATTCCGAAGATTCAGTGCTTCGAAGATATCAATAATTGCTAAACAAAAAGATCGAAACCAGTCATTTTCTGATACGGTAGTTCTAGTGTTAATCAACCAGTTAACTGTGTTTGACGAGTATAGACGTCACCTTAAAACTCTCAATGGCGCCAACTTTCTCAACGGTGGATCATTTATTTTTTACAAACATGTAATTCTTCGTTTCGCTTTAGTGTTTCGTTAGGATATGTTTCAAGTGCATTCGGCCTGCATTTAACGAGTACACGCTTCATTATTTCATTTTATTGCGCGCAATGAGAGATTCTTCAAACTCCACACTTAACTGGTTAAAAGTCTCCTAAAACCGCTGAACTTTACATACCACGGTACATCCCCGTCGAACGGTTTCGCGCGTCGATAACAATCCGATGCGACGTTCGCGACGGCGTAAACGTAATTTCGCGTATTAGCCGTGCTCGTAGGAGCATTGTGCAGGAAACACCTGCCGGATTTTGATCGGTCGCGCGACGAGCTCGCGGAATCACGGCGCGATTTCACGGGTCGCCGGGTAAGTAGTCGGATGTGCCCTTGGTGGTAGGGCGGTATCCGCTCATTTCCAGACGGAATAGACCTAAAACGCGCCGCTATCCGTCACAGATAATCTGCCGCGCTCCCCGGGATCCGGCCGACCCCGAGGATTCGCCCTGGAAAATCCATGATTTTAGATTCCGCCGACGTGGTACGGGGAGGGCGTACGTGAACCGGCGCTGGCCAAAGTAGTTTTAGGATTTCATCGTGTCTGTATGCTAATCGGGTTCGTTATTTTCATGCAAACGAGAGGCCGGCCGCGAAACCGCCTAAAGAATACGTCGTAATAAACGCGACCTAACAATAGGATCTTCCCTTCCTAGCCCGATGTGCGCCGAGGATAGTTCGCTCGTGTCACGTGCTTCAGAGGATCTTTCGTCTCGATGGATGCTTACTGTGGTGGAGAATGATCGGCCGGGAGATATTTGATCGGTTTGAGATTGATGCGTATAGTTCTTATTTGAACTTGATTCTAGACTGATATGGGAAGTGAGATGGAGAGTTATTAGGTAATTAGAAGAGGGAAAGTAATGAAACAGAGAATCAAATCCGAAGCTTTCCAAATTAATTTCGCGTAGGTGTTTCGATTGAAACTTCTATTGTTACTTCGATTCTTCTACTTGTCTTCCTATAAAATAACTGGAAAAGCTTCAAGAATCGCAAAAAGAAATTTTGCTAGGTACTTTAGCAATCATAGAGCTTCCGAATGAAATAGTTCACTCGAAATCAAGTACAGAACTTTTATTAATGATTCCTCTCTGTTCAAGACAACTAAGAAAAATACAGTAAATCAAATTTAAACCTCTCGTCGATCCAAAGCATTAACTTAGCGTCATTAGCGCGGTCCGTGCCACGGAAATTTCGGTCATATTTTGCTTATGAACTGCATTCATTTTTTAAATAAAATATTCTTCTATCCTCCTGTACACATTACAATATACTTAAAATTCCCATTAGCATATTCCAGTTCACACCAATCTACCCAATCATCTCACAAACTCCCCACCGATCATAACGCAAGAAACCAAAAGTCAAACTGCCCCATCTTCCTTCTTTCCACAATCGAAAAGACAGATGATTCTCCTCAAACTTATCGAAAGCACTGATTCAGCGTCGTCCAGAATCATAAACGAAATCTCGATGGATGCTCTCTTCGGAGTTTCCACAGTAAAACCCTCGAAAGTCAAATCTGCTCGGCAGCTGGAGAACCGGCCCAAGCGGCGCGCGCCAATCGAATCGGCCGAACTCCGATTTAGTTGAGTAAATGCGGCCGTAAGTTCAGGTAACCCGAATAATCGTCAGAATAAACATCGGGGCAGGTCAGACGGGCGGCGATATTGGAAACTGTCTGCTTGGCACGGGAATCCGAGCCCGTTGTACGCACGGACGAGGGAACCGCGAGCGAGCTAGCGCGCGCGCCGCAGCAACCCCGGCATTTTGAGATTCCCGATTCCGTCCAAGAGGGTATAAATCATCTCGAGCGTGAAGTGTACACATGCTCCGCGTTACGGAGCCCCTTCACATTTGCCAACCTCCTTCTGGATAGCCGGAGAATTCGCCGGGCTTCGTTCTGCTACCTCGGGCGCGCCCGCTATTTGCGAACTCGTCCCTGCCGCGGCTCAAAGGAAAATTTCCGCCCATCACCTACTTTTTGGGAATTGCCGCGCGAATCGCGCCCTCGCCTGATCCCTTTAAGGACGGGGGAAACTTCCTCGAGGCATCCGGAACCCGTGAATCACGCGGGGATTCTGCCTCGCGCGTTAATGCTCGCGGATTTGGATCGACGGGAGGTTTAAGTTTGATTTGCGGAGGGATGTCGACGTTTCGGATTGGGTGTTTGTGTTTGGAAGACTGAGTCGCGAACAATGATTTAATTAGATGGCAAGAGATCTGTATGTAGTTTCCTTTTCTCCTATTAATTAAGCAATCGGTGTATAATTTAACTTCTGAGGAAGGTTTTCTACGTTTCAAAGAATCTTCGTGCGCAAAGGGTTAAATTCGATTTTCTGATGTATTCTTCTTAGTTGCCTTGGTAAGAGAGGAATCATTAGTGACACTGAGTTAACGCATTAATGCTTTGGATCGACGGGAGGTCTAAGTTTGATTTTCCGATGTATTCTTCTTAGTTGCCTTGGTAAGAGGAGGAATCATCCAGCAGTTCCACTAGAAACACAAGATCAGTTTTCTTAGCTTCCACCGCAGCTCCGTTGTAAACGTTCCTTTGCTCGTTGGATAAACTCTTGAACTCCGACCAGATTCCTCTAGTACACAGTGAACTCTGTAAAACACGAGGCATTTGCGATAGACGCGAACGAAGAGCTTGCAACGTTGGATGAGTTTAGGGTATCTATGCGTTTTATTGCTAATCTTTTGGAAAGTACCTCGTCAATGAAAAATATCCTCGTCGTATAACGTCCCTTTCACTGTTCGAACATCGGGAAAAACGTGTTCGCGATGTCTGCTCGCTAAAATCTCGCAATTAATTACAACGCTCCGCGCACGGATGAGGAACTGCGGTCAGATTCAATTTCAAACGATCCAGCTGATATACCTGTTGGGTTGGGCGGATACGTCGGACTCTCCACTTCACCCTTGTATATGCGCTTGTCTTGTCGGCTAATACGAGTTGATTTGCGACTGAAGAGATGGACGTTAACCCCGTTACATTCCGAATTAGCCGCGCGCGCTTCCGGAACAAAAATGATAGCCACCGAACGATGAGAACGGGCTTCGTCAAATCGACGAAAAATTCAATGGGATATTTTCTTCTGAATGATATCGATCTCTTATTTGGAATATTGTGGAACAAAACGAATGATAAAATTAGACGTGTACATTCGAAAAGGTACGTTTTTAACCGTTTGAACTCTGTAGGTCAAAATATTGCATCACTTCTAATATTAAATATTCGAATGAAAGAACCCCTAAGCTTATTAGATTTTCCACAAGTCCAAATTTTGTAAGAAGGAAAATAGAGGGTGTAAATGTTATAATATTGTTAATTTTATAATGGGTACTATAAAAAGTGACTGAAGTTGCTAGGTTACGAAACCATCTGGAGTGATAAGGGTTGATATAAAGTAGTCGAAACGGGTCGTCTTCTGTTTGATATTAAAAAAAGACACTTGAATGTTAACAACAGGAAATGGAAAAGAACATTTTAATTTCTCTTTTGCGAATAAGCAATGAGAGGTATAATTTGCGGTCCCGCTTACGTTCGATGGACCCGTATTAACCCTTTAAACTCGAGAGACGACTCTCAGACACTCGATTCAGCGAAGCGTGACTATACAATCGAAACTTCAACGTTAAATTTCGAATAATGCGTCAACATACAAAACACGCGAATAAAATACTTCTATCCTTTCCTTCGCATTATGAGGATATTTTTTGTTTGTTTCTATTATTTAAAGTCGCATCGACCACTTATATAGGTCACTAGCGACTCGTAAGATAAATTTACAGTTTGTTATATAACTTCGTTTCTTTTGGATACTGTAGTAGGTTTAGACTCGATTCTTTGTCTTTTAGGTTGTCTTTCAGAGTTGGTCTTATATTGTTGGTAGTGTATTTTTTGCAGTGGATGATGACGTGACCCACTGTCAGTTGTGTCCTGTTATAATTCTTGAAATTGCAACTTGGTCATTATGGGGATATTGTATTTCTAATGAATACTTCGCGTTTCGATCGCAACGTTATACAGAGAAACTCAATTCGTCCAAAATGTTTATCTTCGAGATAAAAATCATTTTGTAGACTACTCAGCAACGCGTTGATCTTCAACGTTCGTTATCGTAGTCGAATTTGGTTCGCTTCCGATATGCACTTTCGAAGCACGCGTCTCGCAGCGATATTTTCCCATAGTCTCGGCTTTTTTCCAGAGGCGTTCGCGAACGAATAATTCTCGGCGCGTGTTGCAGCGCGATTTAAACGTGACGCTCTCCCCTTCAGCCGCGCGTACGGTCAACAATGAAATCTATTCTGATGAACGATGAAAATTATTTCCGCCTCGCGCCGCGCGTCGCCTATTTGCGAAGCAACGCGACGCGTCGCGCGCGCTCGACACGGGCATCGATCTTTGCAGCTCGCTTTCTTTATTTAATAAAATACCGGCGCGACTAACCGGCGCCGTTTTGGTAAATATTTCGATTGGTTCGACGTTGACGTTTGCCGTCGATATGAAACGCGTCTTGATTGATAACACTGTGCAATGGGACTCTTGATTTGCAGTAGCAACTGGGTGATGTTTGTAGAGCACCTTGCTCTTGACGTGATTTTCTTCAACTGTTTGGAAGATGAACCGTTCTCATGGTTTCTATGGGAGGTTTACTCTTCGGAAATGTCTGCAGAATCTAATACTGCATAGGAAATTTGCGCTGGCCGACGTACTTTTCGTAGAAATGTAACAGAAGTGAGTACAAAGTGCGTATCTACAAAGTATCTACTGCTTTTTAAACTTTGATTGTTATTTACAAGTATTTTACGATGCGGAATGTTCAAAATTTCTATAGCTACATATTCGGCGACTCTTCTATATGTTTTATGGTGAATTTGAACTGCCTGTCTTTTGTAGTTTTCACGTGACACTTGTTTCTTCCAAGAATTCGACCGTTCGAAAACCTAGAGCGACACAGCAATTTGGCTATTACAAAACATTAGGAATAAACAAATGAACAAAAACCACTCTCATTCGTCCAGGAATCCCATAAATTCCTAACACTTTCAAATATTGAGACGTCAATCTACCATCAGAGAAATCGTGAAACAAACTTGCAACAGAACATCAACGACCGACGAACAAGAAACAACAGTCCCTCGACGAACAGCTCCGGCGTTCCTCGATGTTCGATGTTCACGATGTTTTCAGAGATTCTTCCGAGTGTGCGTATTTAAGAGGACCCGGTGAAATTTTCCCGCGAAATGGCTCGAACGCGGAAACACGGAAACCTCGTCGGGGGAGTCGACAAAGAAAATGCCGTTCTTCCAGCCTCGCGGCCTGCTGAACAAGGTGTCACGTTGCTTTTGATGTCCCAGCCGAGCCGTTCCAACTTCGAAAACGCTTGCCGGTTTCCGGCGCAGCAATTAAGGCGAAAGTTCACCGCTATAAACGCCGTTTAATCTTACGCCAGACGGCGCGAGGCACGTTTGTAACCGGCACCGGATTCACCGCGCGAACTTTCGGCCCGCTGACAATACGCAGTTAACGCTGGAACTACCGTGTGTTTGATACGATTAACATGTAATCCCCGTAAAAATTGTAACAATAGATTATTTTCAGTTTATTCGAACGTTCATTATAGTAGTCGAGTGAAACTGTTGGTTTTCGAGATAATTTTGAGTATTCAATGCCTTTAAGATATCAATAATTACCAATAATTGTAATGTTAAACAAACCTGTCTTTACCGAACCATCTTGTTCCCACGGCATTGACCCTCCGAATACCGTATTAATGGCGGCTTCAAGCTCCGATGGCCGCGACGCAGAAAGCTACGACTGAATAATTCAATTATTCGAGTAACGAGCGTTGAAATATGGTTCATTGTTTTGTAATGTTCGATATCTTGATGCATAGTTTTCCATGGGAAGACTTTCAAGAACTTGACAAAGTTTTATCCAGAAAGAATTAAAAGAATAAACGTTCTTCGTGCCAGTTGACGTGCTAAACAATGCTCGCGGTTGCTCTATGATTTATATCCTAACTATGACTATGTAATAATTTACTAGAAAACGAAACAGTTTTAATTTTTTCTATATTTACGATTACGATTGTTAATAGGGAAGTAATATGTAATTTATATTTCAAAATAATAGATGACAGATATCTCAAGTTCAGTTGAAAATTCACGAGTCTGACATTGTAGGTCAAGAGGTTAAGTGTACTCGTTATTTCGATCATTTTCATTAACTTTCAAGTATGAAGCTATGTTGCCACAGTACAGAACATTCCAGAAAAATAGGATAGAATCTTGTACGGATCTAGATCTAAGTTTTTGTTTTATCGAGTCTGTTCAACGAGCACTGATGACGTCGCGAGGAAACAGTGCGAGCAGACTGTGTCGTTAATTAAATCGTGCCGTGTGTAATACCGGGTCTAATGAAATATCCAGTGAGTTATAAAGGTCTGCGACTGATTCCTCGAACGATACCCGTTTCATTTTGTTTCGCTACGTATCGGGTAGAGTATCGCGGCGGTAATCCTTCCACATTGCAAAATGTCTATCCCCTCGAATAAGATATCGACTGGCATCGTATTAAGAATGAATCGGGATGGAACTCGAAGCTAATGTCTGCTCCGGAGCCGCATCAGTTCTAACATGCCGCGATCACAATCTTGGCTTTCCTTCTGAAACGTAAGCAGTTTAGCCTGGGATTATCTTTCGTGCAAACTGTTAAGACCTTTAACCGTTTACGGACGCGCGTTCTTGATCATTCGAACGGTGTATTTTCTTCCTGCCCCGAACGATCGGAGGATCGTGACATTGGGGATGATTTATACGTTGAACCTATCGTGTACCATCTAATAGAAGTAATTGTAGATTGAGTTCGATAAAATTTGTTAGTCGTTCCTCTAAGAAACGTATCTTCGATTGCAAAACGAGAAATCCGGAACAGCCGATTTCGACCTCTCCGGCGGCTGTATCGTTGAATCGTACTCGAAAATGTTCTATTCATCGGGCGACGCGAAAGCACTCAGCGAACGTAACATTCTTACGAATCGAACGTTCAAAAATGCATTTCGGTGAACGTAATTCGGCGGAACACGTGCTCCATCTTCTGAAAAATACATCGATAAATCTTCCGGGCGGCCGGGGAACGTAGGTAATCCGGCGCCGCGGTGAAAACAGCCCGTTCAGCGGATTTCGAAGTTAATCTGCGCCGTGATACGGCTGCCAGCGAATGCAACGGGTGTGTCTATGCTACAAATTGACCGATCGAGAGTGTCAGAATGATGGATCCGATTAGCCACGGATCGTCTCGTGTTTCGCGGCCCCTTAACTCGCCGGAGTTGTAGCCAATGGCGGCGGCGGCGGCGCGTTAACTCGGCCGGACTTGAGCTGATTTTCGCGTCCTTCGGCTGTGAAAGGGGTGAAAGCGACGCGGCGGTCACCCCGGGGATATATTCGAGTGCCGCGAAAGTTGACAGTTGACGGCTATATTTCATGGGCGCCGCGCGAACGGGGAAGGCGAAGGTGTCGCCATTTGTTTGACTGCTCTTGTTACGTTTCCCTTTGTTCGCCCTCGCCCTTCTTCACGCTTTAACAACTTCCTGTGCCGCCGTGGGCCGACGTAAAGGTCCGTGCACAAGTTGCGACGTGCGGCGAGATGAGGTATCCCTGTGAGCGATGGGTTCGAACGGTTTTCGACGGTTCAGAGCGACGTGCCGTGGGAATTTAATATTAGAACTACTAGATGAATCAGAATGACTCATTCTCTTGTCTTCTTTTATGATTATTGAAAAGACAGATGCTTGTCTGAGAAATTATTAAGGAAACTGATTTAATAGCTAAATTGGTATGTAAGTCAATTGAATTCTTGAGAACACAGTGGTAATCACAAGGAAATTTTAAAGTCAGTTTAAGTACTGGGTAGTTCTAGTGTTAACTCCTTGTCTTATGAATTATTTTAGAACTACTTCGTTATTAAGAATTTATTGGGAAAAGAGAAAAATCTTGGGAATATCTGTCTGTGTTTGCTCTGAAGTACAAGTGATGACAGAAGAATATTTCTATATATTTATATTAATATTTCTATACTTCTATATATTATTGCTGGAAGTACTCTCGGCTGTTTGCATAAAAATTGATCGAACTACCTATTCGTTACACCGTGTTCAGTAAGAAAGGACACGTCTCCCCCAACGGTCCGCCATTTCAATCGACGATGGAAGGGTTAAAATGAACAGTCGTATCTGTTAAAGCTCCGCAATAAGCTGAAACTACCAGAAAATAAAAGCAACAAAGCCTATCCCGTATCGTATCGAAATTCGTGGCCAACATCCGGCCGCCGCGTCGGCGGAACAATAGCCGAGTCCGATTCCTCATCCCCTAAATATAGGGTAGCGAATTCAGCGCGAAAGGAGGCAGCCCGAATAAATTCGGAGCGAACAAGGGAGACGATAGCGATGCCTTCTTTTCTAAAAACAACACGATGGCGACAGATAACAGTTGAAACGAGGGAGCCGTGAAATCGATCCATCGCGGTTCTAGTGTTACAGTTCTCCCGTCTAATTGCAGCGACCTAACCGAGACCTAACCCCTGCGAACGATCGCGCGACAAAAATCCACGTCTCGGCGAAGACGCGAATCCCGGAAATCGAGGTGATTAATTGGACATCGCTCGGAAGTTCGATGGTAATTTTATCGCGCCTTATCAGCGGGTACGTCGGCTAACAAGGGAAAATCCGGGGGCGGACTCGCGGGAGCGTGTAACTCGCGAACTCGCCGAGGTATCCGGCGAAGTGGAATTTCGTGTACCGTGAACAAACATTATTATCCCGGCTACCGATCCCGTACAAGTGAGAATGAAGATTTGCCGAGCGCTTAAGATAGCGGCTTCGATTGTCGCAGCGTCGCCCGTAAGTTTCGAGTTTTCAAGGTGTCGAGGGAACGCCGGCGGATCGTTGCGCGGGGAGAACTTCGCTTGATTGGATTCACTTTGCTTTATTCTGTAAAACTTGTTACACGAGCGGACAGGGGATCACTCGGGTATCGCCGGTTTCGAAACGATCGAAGGGCCCTTGTCTTTTTTATCGGGACCTGATCGGTGGTAACTCGAAGAAGATAAAGAATTGCCTCGAGTATCCCGTAAAATGTTGAAACAGAATGTAAGACATTAGGTAACTGTGAAGTTACGTTGACACCAAGATTGACTCGAGAGGTTGCAGGGAAATTTTAAAGACTACTCTTGCAGTTTTTCTTGGTATTTAACACTAGAACTACGGATTAACTAAAAACGACAAGCAATGGGTCCCTGGGCTTTGCTGCTAGGATAGGCTCGCGAAAGGGTTTTTTATATCTAAATGCCTACATAATATTTATGATGAATTCTGCTTAAAATCTTCGCCACGAGTCTGACACGGTATTGGCAAGGGGTTAAGTGCTCGGTAGTTTCAGTGTTAAAGAGATGTTGCACAGAGCTAGAGGAAGAGGGGAAGGTTTGTAATGCGTGAAACGAATGAAAACGAAAGAATTAGAAAGGGGATGCGCAAAGACACGCAACGCGACAAAGGGAACGTCGGATTGGCGCCGCGAGGACACGAAAAGCTGCCTGCGGTCGCCGAGGAGAAGGCCAGGAGCATTCCCGAGTGATTCGAGGAAAATCCATTGACCTTTCCACGAGATCCCGGGAAGAAATCTTTGATCCGCTTGTCCGCGAACCCTGGCGAGGCTCGCCGTACCTAACTTTAAGTCCCGCCTCAAAGCGGTCATTAGGACGGAGGGTGATCACTTCGAGGAGTTTCCACTACGGTGTCTCGACGATTGTTCTTCGTGCCGCGCCACTTGTTTCCCGTTCTTCCCCTTCATTAAAAACTTATAAATAAACCGCCGAACTTCGCGCAGTCGCAGACATTCGCGTTAGCTATCCGATTAACACTAGAACTACCGTAATACCGTTCATTCTATTATTCCTAAAAGAATTGTTGCTCGTTTGTTTAGATTGTGGAAACTGGAGATTTGATAGTAAGTAATTGGGGTACACGTCAGTGTGATCGCATCAATAAAAATCGGCGTAAATATTTACAAAATAATATTTCTGAAATCCAATATGCGTCAATTTCACGCGTTCCGTGAACCTAGTGTAAAAAAACGAACGAAAGAACGACGTCGAATCTCTTTTAGCGTGTTTATCGAGGTTTTTCAGATGTTCGTATTCTACAGGATGACGAGCTGTACGTCCACTGTGGTATTCGATGATTGATTTCATTGGGCAACGTCTATTTTCGGTTAAATTGAATTTCGTTCGCGCTAATTCCGCGCTGAACAGTTGCAGCTCCGCAGGGCAACGGTCATCGGGCGATGTTGATATTATAATGATTCCCGAAATGATCGTGTACAGCACGTATCCGTCATTAGACCGACCCTCAAACACCGTCGGCGAACAGTAGATGTCAATCGGCACCGTTGGAGGACTGCGTCGGGCAAATGGCGGATGAGCCTAATGAACGCGCGATCGATTTCGACGCGGAACTGCCACGGCGAATCGATATTCCAACGAGAAATTAATCAAATTGAAGCCGCGTGTTTGCCGATTTTATTAACGCGAATAAATTGCTGGTGTTTGCCGGAAATCGCGGCCGATGTTTATATCGGCAAACATTTCCGCCCGGGGATGATTACACGGGCAGCCGATTTTTGCGCGGCTGGAAATTACGATCGAATTATTGCTAATCATTCCATTTGCACTTGATTACAGGCTTACCATCAAGGCTGGATGTCCGATGAACCTTGAAAACTTCCCGATGGACACGCAGAGGTGCCCGTTACAATTCGGCAGCTGTAAGTTCATCTTGGAAAATCATTGCATCATTTGAAATCCAATTTCTAGAAGAATTTTCATTTTATATATATAGTTCATTTGAAGTTTAAATATATTTCAAAGAATCTTCGTTATCCCCTTGGCCTATGATTTCTTTCTCAACTCCGATCGATATAGCTACGTTATCATTAATGATTTATTGGAAAAAGAGAGAAATTCTAAGCATATGTTACGCCTACATTTCCTTTTAAGTATAATAGTTGATTACAGAGGAATAATATTTACTTTGAATTCGAATTAACTAAGTAATTAGTTAATTAGAATTCAACGCCAAACAATTCATAATTATTCCTACTTTTCTTTGCTACGAAAGACAAACTCTATGGGAAAACGCTTAAGATTTTCGTGGCGCTTAACGTGTTAAAAAGTGTCGAGTATCTCTAACGAAAAACTTCTGAAGTGCAAAGAGTTGAAATAGATCATTATCGTAACACTCATTGGCGAACGAACGCGGCGTGTTTCACGGCTCCTCAGCGACAGCCGAGCAAGAAATATTCTCTTGATTGCAGTCGGTTACACGAAGCGGGACGTGATCTACAAATGGAACAGCGCGCGACAAGTAGCAATCGCGGAGGACATGAAATTATCCCAATTCGATTTAGTTGCCAATCCGACTGCGAATTATTCTGCATCGCCGACCCTTCCTCAAGGTAAGTTCGGTGACTCGACTTCCCCGGATCGACAAGTTCGCGACTTGCCGGCGGGGTGTCCACGCGACCGAGTTTCCGCCAATCCGCGCGTTTGTCATCCTTATTTCACGCTTCCCGCGCCGCCGAGCGTGTACACAGGTTAAATAAATCGCGGAAAATTTCGAGCCAGCGGGACGCAGTCGATCGGGGGAACATGAATATTTCACTTCGCGTTCCGGGAACGTGGATACATATTCATCGGTCGCGCGTCTCGCGGAAGCAAGATTAATGTCCGTTCTTCAAATGCGCCGGAGCCGGATGACGTTTACGATCGCATTGTAATCGCGACGACGCCCGCCGTTGCATGCCGATTATGTTTTCCTTTGATCGCGGCGAATCGCTGCTCGGAATCCGATACGTTCGTAACGATGTTCGTTTTTAGTCTGAAATTTTGGTTGGTTACATTGCGTACTGGTAATGAGAAATCTCGTTTTTATATAGACTCTTGGCTATATAACTTTGCTAATTACCACAGCATTTAAGGAAATATTTGATTAGAACTAAGTGTCAATTTAAAATATATTACATAACAATATGATACTTAAGCTTTTTTTTATAGATAGTGATATAAGTGGATCTCACTGAATGGCAGAATTTAATTTTCTGATAATTAGTCGGTACGCAATGTCAACCCTTTGCACTCGAGACTCTCAGTCACCGACAAGATCTAGCAAAGCTATGAAGTTGAATAATTAATATTTCAAATTAAACCTTGCATTGCTACGTGGAATATTTACTTAATTTATCTACGAATTATCGTTAAGTTTCAAACAATACCGCCTGTATCTCGTCAGAAAGTGTTGAACACATCCATTGAAAAACTCTCGAGTGCAAAGGGTTAATTGTCCATGCGATCACAGGCGAATCTGATTCATCCGCGATGTCCGTTTAACGGTGTTCCAAACGAAGCTTCGGTTAATTAATCGCCACCGCTACGATTACGACCGAGTTGAATTTATACGGGCACGTCTGATGGAAAGTAATTAAGTACGCCACCTTCGAGGGAAAAACCAATGAAAATGGAGACAGGCGAATGGTAGTGGACGCCATCCGGAGGACAAATTGAAGACGCGCTACGTGAGGGAACTTCTGATACTTCGCGCGAGCGTAAAAAGAGTATACAATTGTTATTCCACGAACGTCCCTTACACTCATAATAGTAATTACCTTATGGTAAAGATTCCGCGTTCGATGGAACCAGAATTTCACTGGAATATACATACAAAGCTTCAATATCAAACAAAATATATACGAAAACACGAAAAATGTCAGAAACTCTCAAGCAAAAACTCAGTAAAATATTCAAAATGAACTCTTGGCCACGTCGAGGACGTTCCAAGCGCGAACCAGTCGAATCGAAGATGAAATTAAAACATCGCGACGCGGCGAGAGGTGCCAAGAACGGCGAGTGCGACGCGAAAAATCGTTTGAGACAAAGGGCGAGGATAAGGGCTGGTTCGGATGAGGGAAACGGGGCGCGCGAGGAGGGAGAGATTATCCTATAACGATCGCAAAGAGAGTCGGCCCGAAAGTTTCGGAGATTCCACGGGCAGGAATATCGGCGCGAGGATTGACGCAGGCCGTGAAGGCAGCCGGGAACGGGGCTGAAGGGGCCCGGAAGTGGCGCGGAGGATTGAAGCCGCGAGGAAACGAGAGCCACGAAGAAACGAGGCGGGTTTCCTGCGCTGAATGCTGCCAGCGAGCGAAACGGACGACTAATTGCAGCATCCTTCGCCGGAGAACCTGTTCCACTTGCATCCCCATTGTAGACCCGCCCCATCCGTCGATGCCGGAGAAAACGTTCGGTCGCAGTGACTTCGACTTTTTAATTGGATTAGCATCGATTAACACTCCGGCAAACAAGTGTCGCGTCGACCAATTCCGATCGCACCCGCGGAGAGGAGAAAAAGTCTTCTTGCTCGCCGCGATGAGGGCTGTATCTTTTTACGGGATGTAAGTACACGGGGGTGCACTTCATCGCGTTCCTTGGAGAGGAAGAAGTATCAAGGATTGCGAGAGCTTTTGATTTGTCGGGATTTGTGAACGTCTTTTTGATTGGATCAGTTGTTGAATGTTCTTGACGGTGTTAATGTTGTTTATTGAAGGTGTTCGAGGAAGGTGGACTGTAAGAAGCAGGTGCTGGGTAAATTTGAGATTTCCTCTGATTTTAGCCGACTACTCGATGCTGCTGGTGTATTTTCACCTGCAAAGGCACATGGGTAATTTCCTTATACAAGTGTACGGGCCGTGCGTTTTGCTGGTGGTCCTCTCGTGGGTGTCGTTTTGGCTGAACCGGGAAGCCACCGCCGATCGCGTGTCGCTCGGTAAGTCGAAAATCGGCGAGGTGTAATTAATGGATTTCAATAAGAATTGTGTGTTCACGTTATTTGCACGTGGGAAACAGTTTCCGATCTATTGTTGAACGTTCCGTCGATACTAGCTATCGTATTTTGAGATACGACATGTCGACGATATGCCGCCGTTCCGAGGAACCGCATAAAATAGAGCTGTCCGCGTTTTGTTTAAGGAATAACGACCGTGTTGACGATGACATTTTTGGGATTGGAGGCACGAACCGATCTGCCGAAAGTTCCTTACCCCACTGCCCTAGATTTCTTCGTTTTCCTTTCGTTCGCTTTCATATTCGCCACTATTATACAATTCGCGGTGGTCCATTACTTTACGAAGTACGGCTCCGGAGAGTGTTATTTCAGCTCCGATCTAATCGAAAGCGAGAGTTCCAGCGAGGAGGAGGAGGAGGAGGAGGAAGAGGAAGATGCGCAACCACTTGGGAAGGAACAGGTAACTTTTATTCTCGATTTAATATCGATCAGACTACGGCGGTCTGCTCGGCGAACACTTTAAACCCCTCGCGCTGGAAATTGATTAAAAAATTTCCTAAACTCTCGCCAGAAGAATTTTCTTTTTACCGATTTCACGCGGACGTGTAAGCTGATTTCGTTTGTTAACCCCTTGCCCTATAATGTCGAGTCGGATTCGCGATGAATATACTTCGACGAAACTAAATTCATTTATTTTTCATACTAATGAAACGTTATTTCGCTGTTATCGATCTTTAGCCTTTAGAATGCACGTAGAATAAACAACGAATTTTCTTTTACTATTATTAATGATAATGTAGATTTATTAAGTAGAGTCGCGAAAGAAATCATAGGAGAGTTTAATAATTTTGTTTAAAGTGATATATTTCGAAACAATTTAATACGTGTAATGCAAGATCGTCGATGCGTAGAAGCAATTTCTGGACCGAAAACATGGCGCGCGTGGTACGTCTTTCCAGCGCAAGTCGATCGCGTGACATTTATCGACGTAACTCGTACATCTATTTAGCATCCCGTTAAATGTAAAAACGTGCATATCGTAAAATGCCGTATGGCCGCAGCGACGGTTTCGATTCTTCGAAATTCTAATGGAAATCAAGCTCGCCGATAAGACTGTGGAACGATGCCAAGATAGGGGGCGGGGGTGGTCTTGCGTAAATCCTTAAGAAGCACGTCTTCAACGATTCGAGTAGAGCTTCCCGAGTGCGACTTTGAAATATAGGGTGAGCCACTGAAATTACAAAATTAGGACGGCTTTGCTTCCCTACCCCATTTCTTCGGGACGATATCTGCTCGATGATCGCGGCCGTATTGAATGTTCTCCGAAAATTCTCGACCTTGCGTTCTCTGGTACAAATCGAAGATATTCCACGGAATTTCATTAACATTAGAACTACCGTACCAGTCAAAATGACTGGTTTCGATTCTTTTGTCTAGCAATTATTGATATCGAAGCACTGAATATTCGAAACGATTTTGAAAATAAATAGCTTCACTTCGATTCTTTGAAATTAACTCGAAAGGAAATCGCAAGTATCGAGAAACAAACCTATTTCATTCCAATATTTCACGTGTCGAGGCATTATACAAAGTTCAACTTCAACCCTTTGCGTGCGAAGATCTTTTGAAATATGCGAAATATTCAGCAAACGAAGCTAAATTATACATCAATCACTTAAATGATAGGAAAAACAGAAAGTACGTGCTGATCTCTTGTTTAAGCAATTAAATTATTTGTCTGCGACTTAATCTTCGAAACATGAAAACTTCATCTCGAAATGTCGACATTCGTCCGCAAAGGGTTAAATATCTTTTATACTTCTACTACGTCAAATCAAGTAATGACTGAGAGTCACCTCCCGAGTGAGGTAAATCTGTAAATCCTCGCGAGTCTCGCCGTTACAGATCATGGGATGAAATGACCTAATATAACAAAGAATAACAGAAACAACAGAAACGTCAGAGAAAGCGCGATGTTTCAGTTGCAGGCGTCGCAGGTCCACGCGAAAGGTTCGAGCAACTCGGCGGGCAGAGTGCATCCGAATCGAAACTTCACGATGAACGAGGACGGTATGATCGAGGTGATACCTCTGTCAGCGATCCCGCATCCGAACAGGGACGCGGGGGTCGGCAATTGGCAGATGTCCTGCGTGGCGTGCAGCCCGCCGCCGAGGCCGCCGCCACCCGCCCGGAAGACTTCCGGCAGAAGACGACGCAGGAGGACGCCGAGGTACAACTCGGTCTCGAAGATCGACCGCGCGAGCCGCGTCGTCTTCCCCCTGTTCTTCTTGGCGATCAACGTCTTCTACTGGTGCGCCTATCTGTCGCGGAGCGAACGCATAAACTATTACAACGCGAACTCGAACGGCTCGTGAGACTAGCAGTGATCGAACGGGAACGGCAAGCGTTCGGTTTCCGCCGGGAGGGGAACGTCCGTCGTCGGGGTCGACCAATCTACAGTACTTTAAGCGAGCATGTATATACGTAATCCGAATTATTCCATCAGCACGCCGGGAGAACGACGAACGCGGGGGATGATATCTTATGCGAGGACGAGCGTGGAAGGTAACGATGCAACGAGGCAAATCCAGAAGCTTCTTCCGCCGATCCAGTTAAGAAAACTTCTTGGAATTTAACCCCTTGGCGTACTGTTTAGTTTCGATACTAACACTAGATTGTTTTGTTTAGCAATTATTGGTATCTTCGAAGCATTGAAATGATTTTGAAAATAGTTTCATTTGAGTATAATGAATGTTTGGAGAAATTGAAAATAATCTATTACAATCTTTATGGGAATTGCATATTAATCGTATTAAATGCTCGCTAGTTCTAGTGCTGAACTCGAGTACTTTACTATCGACAGTTTCGAACGCAAAATTGTCTGCTCGAAGTGGAAATTTCATTTGAAGATTGATGATGAAATAGTTGTTCGCTTCCGTGGGTAATAACATTAATCGTTAAATTGATTTCGAAATATTCGTCATTATCTCGTTCATCATTGTACGGCAAGGGGTTAAGCGATTTGAAGAATCGCTGAATCGTGAAACTTGACAGGGTCTAGCGACATTTAATAGTGAGAGCTAAGGATTGGTGTCCATCTGTGTCAGTCTGTGGAATGGATAGAGTATGGATGTAGTTCGAAGCGTGTCACGAGGACAATGAGGGCCGATTGATAATGATCAAGGGATTTTATGAGAAAGTTACATGTTGTCGAGCAAGTTGACTGTAGAATGTAGATTGTGGATGTTTCACGCTGGCCGAGGTGTCAGTTCCTTACTGCCATGGTCTTCTTTATTGTCCGCCGGAACCTAAACCTCGGTGAACCCCTATTTCCGGTTCTGTCTTGTTCATCTCGCTGTATCGTTGCCATCTAACGAGTTTATCCGATAAGGGCGCAAGAGGTGGAATTTTTACCCAGATCGTGGTACTGTAAACATTCTGAATACTTTTTCGGAAGATTACCTGCGTTCTATTCGGTATTCGATGATAATTTATGAAAAATTTTTACTAAGCTTCCATTGAAAAGAGGTTGTTTAACCAGTTAAGTGTGGAATCTAGTTTGAAAAATCTCTCATTGCGCGCAATAAAGTCAAATAATGAAGTGTGTACTCGTTAAATGCAGGCCAAATTAGTTCTAGTGTTAAGTGAAATTAAGATTGCAGGAGAATGATCTGAAATGAATTTTTCAGTGACTTCATTTGATTGAATAATTTCGAAATTACTGATCACGCTCTTACTAAACGAACTGTATTTGGAATTGTATAGTGTCAGTGTAAATGGGATAATTGTAATGATTGTCAAAGGAATTTTGCACTTTGAAATTTGTCGAGTAACATGTCGATGGAGAGTTTTATGGGAGAAATGTAACTGCGTTAAAACGGGCATTGTTAAGAAACATAACATTTATTGTTACAGTCATTTCTGTTAAACGAAATGATGTCCAAGCCTGTTCTATTTATTTCCACGCGAAATATTCGTGACTGTTTGAAAGTATTATATTAGGGTACACGAGCGTCGACTGCTGTTCTTAAGTTATTATTCTGTGATTAATATCATTAAGGTAGTTGATTCCATAGTTTTGGTTAATTAGGTCTTCCTGGCATTAGTATCATCCCTCGCTATGTAAATACAGTGTTCAAGTTAGTCGACTATTTTTCAAATGAATTCGATTTCAATGTTTTCTTGGAGCATTCTGTTGTAACGAGCTTTGAGTAAAAGATCAAACGGTTGCGTTCTGTCGAGCGTTGTTACGAGAGATTGGATATATTTCGAAAATTCAACGCTCCCCACGTGTGTGCTTGTGAAAGATGTTTAAAGTACAAATGATGTAATGTGTATGATAAAAATATTATTAGCCGTTTTAACACTAGTAGGACCAACGTTATCGTTTACATCATTTCGGGAAGTATTTAAATCGTTTTATCTTACGCGATTATGTATGAATAAATATTTATTTTCGGTTCAGTTCATGAAATTCTTTGAGAAGAAATAAATACGGCTAAGAAAGTCTACAATAATATCATACGTTCTCAAGAACGAAAATAATAAAGTTACAGATAGAACATTCCGAACCGATCGTCCTCCTAGAGTTAAATCCATGTTTAATTGAAACACGAATAAATGAAAGATATTCAATGACGAGAAAAGAATGTAATTATATTTCGATGAAAGTCATCAGCGAAAGGTGCGGAATATGTTTTAATCTATAGTGAAGTAATTAGCAAATTACCGATAGAAGGTAATGCGTATTAGGTGCGACAATAAAAATCAATTGCAAAAACAAAACTTTGTTATTTATTGTTGCACGTGAACATGTGTGTAACGTGCATTCAGAAAAAGATAATGAAATCCTCGTGTCATTTATACATTTAACGAAATTATTTTGTTTCCTTTCGTTTTTGCATTGCAAACAATATTGAATGGATCATATTTATCTTTATTGACCTAAACATTGATTTATATCGTGAATTACATCATGTTTATTAGTGTACAATGTCGTCAGAATACTATAACACTTATTCGCATAAGGTGTCCATATAATAAGTTTAGTTTTAACAACAGACAATCATGTACAGCTACTCTTTGGCAAATCTTTATAACTTTCACATAGTATTACAAAAATAGAAAAGCAGAAACGTAGAGTTAAAACATTTTTTTCGTGTATTTGTACTATATCACTAC